AGCATTTTTGCGAGATTAATCCCGCACATAAATGGAGCGGGATCCCGCGGGATTTGCGGGACTGAGGAATTTGTCGACCAAGGGGACGACTCTGTTTACTTTGTTAATGAAACTGATAACGGCGAATTATTTTTTAAATAATTGTTAAACTTTTTTCGTTAAAAATGTACTATGATTTTTGAGGCACTTTAGAAGACTTTTTGTGCTTTACAGGTAAGGTTTTTTTTTAGTTCTAAGTTAGCCAGAAGGTACTTTTTTGTTAGATATTGTGATAACTGATAATTAGCGATTTATTTTAATACAGAAGTTAACCGCACAGCACAGAATTGCTTATTTGCCAATTTATTTAAAGTTTTGCGAGATTCCGCAAATACCGGGATCCATGGCGGGATTAACATCTAACAATCCCGCAAATACCGGGATTGAGATTTTGCTGCGGGATTGCATTCCCTAGTACTCACAAAGAGAAAAATGGAGGTCTAGACAAACGCATCCGTTAGTGGTGTTAAAACGCGAATACCGTTAACGTGTACAATTTTTAACTTGTTATATTTTGCAAAATAAGTCAAATACGTGCGACGACTTTATTGCTTGTTTTTCAAGTTGAGTCATTTTAGATAGGTACGTATTTATTTGTGGCATTCACCCGTCTTAGTTTAATTGGTAAAACTGAACTTATATTTTGAGTTAATTCCTAAACGTTTGTATAAGTCTCCCTTTTTATTATTTTTCAATCTATAAATTTTATTGGTTTCTTTTAAGATGAGTTTCAATATTTGCTTCATATGGTGCGGATATGTTTGTCATGCGACTGGACGTAAATATGTAGCTGGAATAGATACTATTGAGTATTGACAGTGTTATCTCGGGCACGTCAGATGTGTATGTCACCGATTTGAAACATACGGCAGATATTCACATCGTAATTGGAAAAATGTCGATTATTGAGGTCGTAGAATCCAATTGAACCAAGGGCCGATCCCATCAATTACGTTACACGCCACTTAGTAGTACGTGTCTGGTTGTTATTGGGGTAATATAAAACTTTGGATGAAAAATTAACGTGGTAAACTGCAAAAATGCGAGAGATGAGACAAACGAGTTAAAGGGGGTTATAACTTATAACAAATGCTCAAGAACAACGAACACCTCTTCTTTGTATTAGGATGTAAATCTATTTCGATTTCTATGTAGGTCTGTTATACCAGAATCTGATGGGCAGTGGATAAATTGGTCTAATACTAAAATCATACATTATAATTTTGAGATTTGAGACCGGCAATTTTCAAAAAAAAACTCAACTTCGCTGGCGTATCATTAAACGAAAATACATTCATCAGAAACTTTACTAAACTACTGTGAAGTATCCATTATACAAAACAAAAGGGATTATGATAACAAAGACCTTTCGAGGACAAGAGATAGCTTTCATTCGCCGCTTATAACTGTACACCGCGGTGCAGATAAGCTGCCTTGGATTAGAGAAATATCGTGCATATGTATTTAAATGGGCGTATTTTGGCGACATTTATCGATTAAAATTATAATTATAACACAATATTGGATTGGAGTTTTTTCCCTTCCAAAATCTTTAGTTATTCCGACGAGAACATATTGGAAGTACGATATTGATTAAATGCAAAATCAGAGACTTACCTTCGTTCATTCAAATTGTATGCCTTTGGTGACATTAACAAAAGTCATTTCGTGTGGCTTTTACTAACTTTTGTTTGCTGCTTACAGCCAAAGGTTCTAGGTGCGCTTTACTTGCTGATTTGGAGGATAAATTAATTGGTACCTTGGGTGGAGGACATGATCTAGCTCGAGATAAGGATATGTAGTTAATTACAACGTTATAACAAATAAACTCAATTAATGCTTCTTACATCTATATTGATATCACAGATGCCTTAAGGCTTAATTATACTATACGTCAGTTACTGGTAGAAGTAACTAAAACCGTGTACTATGAAGGCATCGTGTAGGCAGACATTCTAATTATGTCGTTTACTAATCCTCCCAACAATAATTCTGTATAATCCTACTCAGTGGAACGAATTTCCTCATCTATTTTGCCCCATACTCACTTACCTCTTATAAGGAAGCACTTTTTACCAACTGCTACCTGTCATGTCACTGTGGTAAATTCTTTCTTTCGTCGAATAAGGTTTACAATCAGTGGTTTAATAAAGGTTTCTATTAAATTTCGTAGACTTCAATAACTTCCTGCGATATTCCATATATTACACTGAAATGCGTTTACAATTTGCTTACATAGTAAACAACAAATTGTTTTAGAACGATTTTCCCGGAACGATTGCGTTACATCTGCTTTTGCTCTTATCGTCGATGACTAATCTCTCACGGCGCCTCGATGTCTATCGGGATTTCTGGAACGTTCGCTATACTGCCTCCTCTTAAAACTGTTTCGTCTCACAAGACGAACGACGTTGGTAGCGGAGACACAGTCCCAGGCAACTCTGGTTCTGTAACGCGAACTTGATGGCGGTACTTGCACGACGACGTCCTCGTGCATCATCCATTCATGAAGAAAAAACAATTCACCGTCTAACGAATGAGTTGAGTAGTTCCTCTGGCGTTAAAGGAACAGACCAATATTTTCACCCGGGTGCTCTGGAGTCTGGAATACCACCTTGAACATATTGCGCACGATACGCTAGTCCAACCTTATCAATGCCACATCCATCCTCGGTATTACCAACTTGGTAATGCCATGAATATTTGTAGTTGTCGTGTTGCAGTGCATTTCAAAAATCTTTACATCTTACTTTAAATCTTACATCTTTAACACTTGTTATTATATACGTAGTAAAATAAGAACAATGTATTTGTTGATACCTTTAATTGAACTATATAACAAACTGCGTAGTACTATTTGTGTGAAACTTGAAAAGAATGGGACTTCGTGCCTACCAATATTTTTTCCCAGCCCCAGCATTAATATAATTAGGAGGAACATACGCTCTCGTTGTTTATGTTTGCACAATGACTTGTTAACTGTGGTCTTGGTTATTGGTCGGGACAATTTCTTCTAATATGTCCGTTAATACCACCAGCTGCTCTATGAAGCTTTCAGGAGCCGTAGGATATACCAATCTTATTAACCGGGCTATATCGACTTCGAGTTCTTGCAAAGTTTCGCTTGGTTTTTTAATTGAGTGTAATACACTTGATGTAAATTTTTATCTCCATATCGAGCTTCTAACCGTGGTAGAATTTGCTCAATATCATTTGCTGGTGTTCTGGAATCGTACGCAACGCATTTAACGCATCTCCACGTAACGCAGCTATCAGGAACGTTGCCTTCTCTTCCACTGTCCACTTATTTGTAGGGGCAGAGGCTTCAAACTGTCTCAAGTAGGTGGCCCACGGTGATTTTCCATCAAATGTCGGTGGCTTAACTCGAATTTTTGTCGTACCCATCTTTTCACACGGTTCTAAGGGCTTCCTTGCGGAACACAACATAAATTTTGTATCATCACAGATGACATTACTTCAGTCAATAACAGAAATTCCGTTGGTGGTATTTAGCTTTCATTTCGTTTTCTACCGTACCCTCCGCCTCGATTTTATCTTGGACATACCTATCTCTTATTTCTTGTTGACCCTCTTCGAGTTTAGCTTTTATTTTGGTTACCATGGTCTGTTGACCGGCTTTTCATGGCACCTTGATGTCTATCAGGATTTCTGGAATATTCCCTTCAATAACATTGAGAAAGCATTCCACATACACAAAGTGGTGTAAAACCTATATTTACCACATTAAATCCATTTAGAATATCTGCGGCGGTCCATCGCGAAACCACAACATAAGTATAATAATTAAATCGACAAAATCAAAGTTTGTTTTTTAGATCATTTGGACATATTGTGAACTTGTAGCATAGATAAGAACGTATTGCTAAAGGTTTTGGAATTTTTCAATTAAAAATTTAGATGTCTGTAACTAATGGATACTTATAGATCGTGACCTGATGTGAACCATTATAGATCCTGCTAATATTCCGAAATGCTGTTACCACTCATGTAAATCCTATTGGCTACGATGATTACCCCTGCAACAAATAAAATATTAATTATTGGATTCTTAAAAATACTTTCAGTTTTAAGGAAATAAGGAGTTTCAATATGTTTGCTTAATGCAATTGGCCTTTAGCATATGTAACTAACCTGACTTCATTGAATGTTTAATGGTTTGGTTGTAAGTATTAATATAATGTGTAAAGGGTCTCGTTTTGGAGACGTAGTAATGAAAACTTTATTTTTCATTCAACGGTCTTACACTATGATGCAAAGAACCATTAACCAAACACCTGCTACTGTAGAAATTAATCCGGGAAAATGTAGCGAATTTTCCACACGTTATACCTACTTCAAATAACAGCTTGTGTAACTTTTTGCCGATTGCCTTAGGTTATCCGGTGGTTACACTAATAATTGATGTTGCAAGACCAGACCAACCTTGATGGGGATTTACCAAAAGTATAACGAAAAAAATCTCTTGTAAATGCGAATCTCGTTGCTGTTTGTAAGTAGTTAAAGCAATGTAATTGCACAAATCAATTTAAATTAACGTACAGAGTTTCGTATTAAAAAACTGCCCAGAAAGTGAGACTTATGAGTGTAATTGCTGTTCCACAGTAATCTGTGTAAATGGGAGTAGGCAATTGCTAAAGTCGATGACATTGTATGCAAGTAACGGTACCATATCTTTGAAAGTTTCCGGAGAATAAATACGTACACTTTGCATGAATGCTTTTGTTCATTTTGACGAAATCTGTTCACGTTAATTTGAAACGAGGTAAGTGCAAAAGTGTACTTGTGTAGTGGCCCAGTGACTGATTTACACATTAACTTGCTGATATGAAAAGGTCAAAAACATCGGCACTGCGGTAATAATCTTCGGATGGCGCTAGTCGTCGAGACGTTGGCGCAGTTTAACCAAAAAGAGCAGGCGTCGTCATATTGATCGTCCGGTTCGTAGGTTTTACAAACTAGTGACTACCAGATTGCTATAGCAAGGTGGGGCTCCGTCATGCTGTCTGCATTCACTACTTGACTTTCTTCTGTACTGTTAATTCAGTACCCTAATCAGTTATCTTGGTGTTTATGGCTTCCCAGCCCAAAATAATTAAGTTTATCGGTGTTGCGAACCACTAGACCTGATGATCGGTTCATTTTGGAATCTCTGTAGAGCTTGTCCATCGATGCCCGTAGATAAGGTACCTATACAGTTTAATGTAATGCTTATTTGTATTGTATCTGCCTGGAGAAAAACTGCCGGCTTCTTTTGTGACAACTGTTTGATATGTAGTCAAGGAGTAGTAGCCATATTTAATTTTCTCATTCATTAATTTCAATAGGCGAGTTAAGAATCTATGAACTGTTTTATTAGCTGCATTCGGAATATCGGAGTACATACCGATGGCATGAATATACGGGCCCTCGTCAAGAAGTTGTAAGGCGCCCTCCACAATCAAGTACTGCTGCGCCGCCGGTCACTGGTAAGTCACGTGTTGTAATTTTTTCATCGATTATTATTTTTATTTATTATAATACGGCTTGTTTTAAAAGCACACAAATTCAAGATTCATCTACCAGCCCCTGTTCAATTGTAACTATTGGTTAAGAAGATAAATGTAGATACTTGCCTTTTTAACCGTTTTTTTCTCCGGAGTGTAACCGGGTTTTGTTTTCTGGTCATAAAATCCTATTAGTAATTAGCGTAGGTACCCAACCGTAGAAAATAATAGTCGCGCTTAAAAAGTGCAGTGTGACATGTCATCACAGTCTTCAGATTACAGGTCATTATTGATATCTCTGAAGAAGTCGTTCACGCAAATAATTGTACATATTGATCTGCCCGACATAAAAAATTTTGGCGTTCATTTAATTAGGTTATTTTCATCATAACAATTTAATTAAGGGATTGTCAAGAGCGCAATCAGCTAATTACTAATTTTTGTAATAACAAACCCAAATATTGACAACTGGTTAGTTAAGTAACCACCCACGCGCCGGTAAATTCGTGACAGTTTGTATTGCTTCTTTTGGATCGAAACTTCATTTCCTGTCGCTCTCGCCACCATAACTTAACCCCATACCCAAATTCATTCCACATATTTTGTCTCAATAAGACCAATATCGCTTGCGTTCAATAACAGACATCGTACAATCTTTAAGTTTATAAGTAATAAACCAATTAGTGAACGTGACAACAATAAGTGTAATTACGCTTCTCCTTCATGCGTTAGGTCTAATTGGATTTGCTACTTTCGCAGGCTCATTTTCCATTTACGCTCTAGATGTACTTGTGTCGTTAGATTGTGCTCGAATAAAATACGAATATTTGGAAATTCATTTGGGAATTTTACAACACCTAGGATTCAGGAACGTGTTCAAGGGTTATAAAGCGCTTAGCTAAATCGCCGTTTTGTTCTCCTCGGTACCAAATGGATCAGCGAATACAGTTTTATATAGCTAATTCACAATGACAGATGATCCTATTTTCACATTTTCAATTCTATTCCACCCCATTTTCCTCTAAGTATCACGATTTTATTCCCTTCAGTTCCCATAAAGCTATGAACACGAAAAAACTGCACGATTTAATATCATTGCACAAATTTTTTCGTTACTTATAAAAATTGTCGAATTGAATCCAAAACGAAATAAATAATGATCCGAAATACGAGATAAAGCGAAAGTCCCGCTTCCAAGAGAACATCCAGGGATAAATTGGAATTCGAGTATTATTAATTTTTCATGACCCTCATCTGATCCCGATTATGACGGTATTCGTTAATTAAACGCAAACTTTTCGGGTGGGAAATATGTCACGAATTTATAACAATGGAAAGTTTTCCGAATTGTGCCCATTAAGATTTATTAAATTTTCTTATTCTGAAATCTTTGCGTATATTGCTTCGGGATACGTCTAGAATCGAAATTTCCAGCTTTCTGTATTACAATTTAACATTTATTTACTTTCGAGGCATGTAATCTCGAAACAAATAATTAAAACCAATCGTTTCATTCCCTTTTCAAACAAATGATTATTGATTTCAATATTTATTTTCAAGGAAAAAACCAAATTATTTTGACCTTTAAATAAATCAATAGGTAACTTCCTGAGGGTGTCGTTCTGAATCCTTATAGCAAACGCGTATTGAATTACATTCATTTTCTCAACGAATTGAGAAAGTGTTTGTGAAATCCGACGTGTCCTTCAAGGACTAGCCATACTTGATTAGGCGATAAATTCTTACAATGCCCAAAATGTTCAAGGGATGTTAAATTTAGAAAATATTTTAATTAAGTTGCATGCAATGGATTCTAATTTGCGGTGATCTGAAAATGCAATAGTTTTCATGTTTGTTACTGAAACAATAATGAAATAAAATGACCTAAGCTGAATAAATTTCAAAATAAATGCAATGTGTCTGGGTAATTTTATTAAATACAATATAGAAAAGGTTTAATTAATTCCGGATGAAAAACTTCGTATCATTGTAAAATCGATTGATGTAACAAAATCCTGAAATTGTAAACAAACTTCAATGCAAACAATTACTCTGTGATTTTGTTATCATTTTATTTGTTTGCCAAAACTAAACTTAAAGTGCTTTAAATAATTGCCCCCCCCCCCCTCTCCATTTTATGAGACGACGGGTTAAGTTTAGGACTAAGGCGACATTTTTAAAGTTTAATTAAAACAGGGTTTTCTATTTTGGATGATAAAAATAATTCATTAATTTGATGTATCGGATATTGATTCTACTAATTGAAAAATGTATATACAGATTATGGGGTTAAAAAACCTTGCTAAGGACTCACTGAAAAAAGGCGATAGAGAGAGAAGTATTCACAAAACGTGCGTGTTCAATGGGCACAATAACATTTTCAATTGGCAAATTCAGAATATCAAACTTTTCTAGCGAGGTCTCATAAACATTAAGGTCCCTTGAAGTTGGGCATAAACGTCCAGTAGATACGAAAGACCTTCCATCTCGAGACTTGGTTGATAGTGTTATGACAAACTGTCTATTGCGATAATTTTATTTAAACATATTTTTCTAGGTGTTAACCAGATTTTGTGGTGCAATCAAGAAAACTTGCTTACGTCAAAAAACTGAATGTGAATCTGAAAATTAATTAAGCATTGTATTCGCTTTTATATAATCATAATGACAATGACTTATTATAAAGACTGAACATTTAGTATACGTATTTTGCATTTCATTTCTAAGACTATTATGAACAAAAAATACTTTTGTAATTTTAATTAGGTACCTACCTAGATACCTGTGGGAAGTGGTGTCACCTTGGCGGAGGTATGCTTAGCAAATGCCAAGAGTCCATCGTTCCAATTCGGACTTTTGCACAGAAGCTGTAAAGTAGGTTTGCTGGGTCCATTCGATTATAAAATCTTTCTTTAGGCATTTAGTTTGAGCTTGACTTGCTCTAATATACCACAATAAGCATTTACACCAGAGTAATAATCTACATCTGAAGGTAATATCGCAACGGTTTGAGTCCATTTAAACATACCAATTGTATAAGTGTAACTTTTGTAATATCTGATTCTTATTCACCGGGCTCAGATTTGTTGACTGTCCTTGTTTAATTAGGTGCAGCCAAAAATGCCCTCATACCTTGATTAGGTTTTCGTCAAAAACTTTTCCTCATCATTCCAATTTAAGGGGATGGGTGGCTTCTGGCTTATGTCCATTAAAGGAAGAGATTGCATTGTGAGGTATGCCTTTTTACATTCTGAATTCACTATGTATATTCTGATGCAAGTTCAGAAGGTCTCGACAATAAAACTTGTAAACTACCATGTGTTTAATATTTCCCTATCTATGTATAGGTAAAATATGTATTTTATCAAAGGTCCTTCGTTAGGTTTAAAATGGATCAGCTCAGGGTACTTAGGGATAACAAAAAGTGAAACGCAAGAGAAGTAAAAACATTCCAGTAAATCACAGATATTGGAATTGTTTTAACCAAATTTCAGATCCGAGTGCAATCCTCCCTCACCAGAAAGTTGAGAACGTAATTTGTTTAATTTCAATTGAAGGACTGCGATCGCATTCGAGATATTTGGATTTCCCTGCTTGTTTCCGCTGTATTTATAGATCATACGTACACACCATTAATAAAAAAATAAAAAGTACACACTATAAAATGCTATCGGTCACAACAGGAGGAAGAGATGCTGTCATTACATCACAATTCAGAGCAGTGAATTGGTTAACACGCTTTCCAGCTTGCGTATTATACATTTAATGAAGTCAAGTTGATAGTTGATTGCTTATAAATTTAAAAGGATGATCAATGTGCCCATATAATGCTCCAGCCTTCGTCAACCAATCGTGTATTTTGTGTTCAGTGAGCTTATCTTTGTTTTTACTGGAAATCGGATTTCCAATTCTGAATGTTTAAAAGATTCCCAAGGAATTTTGCAAAATATTACAGTAGAATGGACCGAAACAAACTTGAATTGTAAATATCTCTATTGTCTCATACATTTTTTATTAGGTACTCTACTCAGATTACAGTCTTGAATTTAAAATACAAAAGTAAACATAATGGAAAGAGCCATTTAATTCCAAAACATTTAAATTGTCTGACCCGTAGACCCCAGTGACATCCTACATAAAACCTAGAAATTTGTTGCAGGTGAAAGAAACAACATTCAAAATACTACATTGGTTCACGAAGAAGAAGTACAAAACGAATGTAAGTCATTAAAAAAAGTGACTCAAAACGGACGTGTTGTTAGTTATATCATGTCTCCAGTGCCTAAATTGGAACCAGCACTTCCTAGGCGAAAAAAACATCCTGAGCTTGCATATCGTCATCATGAATTTTTGGCCTCGAGTAGAGATAATTCGCTTGACGTCAGTGAATCTGCGAACAACGATAGAGCAAGGGTAAAGTACACGCAACCATTTTACACTTTCACCTTTTTTTTTCGGTTTAATTGTATTGAATTATTTATTAAGTTAATCGATGCGATGGTTGAACCGAGTTTCTATAGTTGCAAAAGGTAATATCAGCCCTTATAGTAAAAAGTAGCACTTTATAAGCAATCTGCTTTCACTAATTAGCTTTTTTAAATAGTGTAGAAATTTTGACTGGTGGTGAAACAACCTTTTTCGTGGTTTAAGAAAAAATTGTAAAGCTTCCGCTTTTTGCAAGAGCATTGATGCTTTACAGTTGTAGGTGCATTTAATTGTAAAAGTAGCGCACAATTTGTTCAACGCGTTTCAAAATATCGGTTTATCAAATTCAGTTTTTACACGCGCGCCGTTTTCTTTTGGTTTATTTTTCATAATCCATTTCTTCACTTTGGATTTTATAAATTAATGCACAGTGCTACTTTGTTCACAGTATGTTTTTCAATTGTTTACGCGCTAAAAGTTACATAAAACACAAAGCTTGTTTTAAATCACAGGGTTCAATGCAGAACAACGGTGCCAACGGACCGTAATAATGAGCCCGCGTAGTGTTTGGCCATCTTCCTTTGGTAGCGTTTAAAATCCACGAAAAAAATTGACCCCTTAAGTAGATTTGCTGCCCTGCTCTCTCCTGCATGATTTAACATAACACTAATTGGTTGTATCAAATTTCTAGATTGAACGTCGGTTATTAGCTATTCTTGAGTGCATGTGAAGTGACTATTAAAATGAATACGTTTCCAAATTGAGTAATTTGTAACTTCTTTGCATGATTGCCAATAATTGCATAGCAAAAAAATTGGCGTATTTTTTAGAACATGTAGAGATGTATTCATTTTAATTACAGTCCGAGGAGAGAGGCGGCTCGCATTGGAGACCGTCCCGACGCAGCAAATCCGAAGGGCCGGCGCGTAGCAACGCCATTGTTAAGGATGAGGACGAACGACGGCGGGAATCCGATCCAGACCTTGAAAACACGGTAACATAAATATCGCCCGTTGTTCTGTGTACCCTACCTAGGTGGCATTTCTCATTTTTTATTTGAGTTCGTTCTGTTTAGGGACGTGAAACCGGTCTTCTAAGAAAGGCAATTTCAAAATTAAGCACCGAGTATAGGCTACAATTTGCTTGGCCCCATGGCCACATTTCACGGAGAGATAAAGTAGATTCCACCCCCAGAAAATCTCTTTCTATGGGTGCCATTAAACCCACTGCAAACGCAATGGTCCATAGAAAACGAATAGACCTTGAAAATAAAGATGGTAACTCACCCTAAAGTCAAAATTACGAGATCCACTCGATTTCTTTTACAGCTAGTGAGTTGGAACCGCTGGTCAACGATAACCCGGTGCACGAAGATTCAAAGGAAGACAAGGTGCAGATAAGTAAAGAATTCAAGACGGAGTATAAAAAACAATTCCGTCCCTTTTCTCAGTATGAATATTCCGAAGGGCGCTTCACCGATCGAGGAAATGAAAACAAAATCTTAATTGAAAATTCAAACCCAAACATTATTCCCATTAATGCAACAGAATCGTGGTATCGCGAGGTAGTGGAATTACGCAAGAAGGCTGGACAATATAAAGTAAGTCGATTCTTGCATTCCGTTACGTTTACGTTTCGTTCACGTCACAGCACCGAGGATGGGGTACTGAATTAGCACCAGAAAGACTTTCAGAACTTTATAACAAACAAACTGAATTGTGGGATCAAGTTTCACAACGAAGTTCTTTATCTGCTTTGTCCCTAGCGTCAACAACCCATAGGTAACTGCTTTCATTTCACTGTAACTGGCGCATTATTACTCCACTCTGTTAGATCATATACAAAGGAAGAAAAAGAGCAGGAAAACAATAAGCGTAGTTCCCCTACAAAACCTTTAAAAAATCCCGACAACTCAATAAGAGGTGTAAAGGATATGATTAGGCACCATTTGGAAAGGACAACAGGCGGTTCAGGTTAGCAATTAGTGGATTCTAGCCAACTTTCGTTGTAAAATTTTAGAATTGGATGGTCTAATTTTGTCTCCGACACGAGAAAAATTAGAACCGACGATTCCCAGGAAAGATGAAGATTATAGAGGTTCTCAAAAAGGCAGTCCGCAGAAGTACAGTCCTCAAAAAGGATCGCCTCAAAAGTCTGCCATTCAAAAGAGAAATTCACAGAAAGTAAAAAATGCCTTAAAAGCGGGTACGTATTACGCATCATTTATTTGCAATTAAAAACGTTTGTTAGTGAGGTCTCAGTCTGTCGGTCCAACTGATACAATAACCGAGAAGCGATCGCCGAAACGACAGTCTCGTTCTGCTACAGTGAAAGAAAAACGTTCTTCATCTAATAGTACATCAGCAACACGTAGACCAAGGCCTTGTGAGTATACACTACAAGAATTTGATGTGTGCCAAGTCTCGTGAAGCATGCTTTTGCACGTGTTAACAATTTTACACTTGATGACAATTTGAGTGCAGGAATCGCTTAAAATTACTTGTAATTGGATCGCCCAATTAAACCAAATGAAAGCGATCACATTACATGTGTGCCTTAAATGTTTTGCAGTAATGGTTATAGTATCAAACGTATTATAAAATTAATGTTCCGGTGTTTTAGCATCCTTGAATACTACTGCCTCATTCAGATCTAAATGTAGTACCATTTCCCTTAAAATCGAAGACGACCGATTGGCGAAAACAAAGTCTAACAAAAGTAATTACGCAAATAGTAAGCAAATTCTCGACACAAAAGAACTTCAGAAAGGAGGTCGAAGAGGTAAGGCGAATATCTTATGCATGTAGGATCCGTGGTCTTCACGATCCTTGGCACACAGTTATTCAAATACTTATAAAATACATACTATACCTACAAATACGTGGCAAATTAAACCTTTTGCATTTAGCAGCCGAACAACCAACTGCCGTTGACAAAAGTGAATCTATAGAAGCTCCGATTGTTACTGAACCGGATGCCGTAGACTTGGAGCCCGTGGTCAAATCGCCTCCGGAACCAACGCGAGTCAAATCACCTGAACAAATTTTGATGCGATCTCCGGATCCCGTGAATTGGACGGTGCCACTTGATACCGGAAAAACGTTTACTGTAACGCAAAATATACGAGAAGGTATAAAATAATGTCAGACTTTCTATAATCCACTATACATTAAGATGCATAACATTTGCCTTGATCGCTTAGGTGACATCGGTACGCGGCCACATAGTGAAATAAAAGCCTGGACGCCACCAGAAGTGCCACCCCCAGCCGCGCAGTCAGCACCTCCACAATTTTCGGAGCAAACAAAGGAACAAGGCATGTCCATGTCGTAACTTCGGACCTGATTTCCGCTTACCATATCCGATTTGGTTGTATTGCTTTAGGTATGGATTTAGCAGTCAAAGCATGACCTCAAGGCAGGGCAATATCATTTTTATATAAACAGGCGAGTACTAGCTATGGCAATCAATTTGCACTTACTAGAATGGCTTGCACGAAAGCATTTCAGTTGGGGCTTTGGAGCGCACGCCAAGCTGGCAGAGTATTTTGTATTTGCCATTACGTTATTACTACCTATGGTTCGTGACATTCGAACGTTTCGCTCTAGCTTCCTCTATTTCTTTTAGAACATTTATTTAACCCCTGACACTTGGTATTTTGCAGCTAGAAAACCATCAAATAACAGCAGCAATACAGCCACAAATACACAAGAGCTTTCAACTGCTTCTTCCTCAGAAATCAACGTGATAGGTGACGTAGATTCTGCAACGGCAAGCGGTATAAGTTCCGTAGCGGGTACCACGGCGCGTTGCCTAGACGATCCGCTAATGGAGGCTTCCACTGCCGTTTCAACTGTTCCTCAAGTACATCAACAAAATCCATCACCCTATCGAGTATTAGAAGCACCTATTTTAATATCACCCACGAACGAGCGATCGTTCGCCTCTGACATTTTGGAAAAGGCGCGCCATCGTTTTGATCGTTTTTGGGGAAAAAGTTCGCAATACGAATCGTCGTAATTCCTAAGTAGACTAGAATAAGTAAATTCAATTTAGAAGAGAAAAGTTACGATGGGGAATACAGGGTCAGAACCCTCGAGTTGCTGGAGGCATAGTTTGTTAGCTTTGGCGGCTCATTTTTGTAAGACATTGGTCCGTGTTGTTCTTAAATTTTTAGAAATAGCAGCAAAATATGGTTAACTTGTATCCAAGCCATTTTTCAAACATCATTGTAAACGTATACCCAGCCTTATGTACTAACTGCTTATGTTCCATGCCATCCATCTACAAGTAAGCTACATATGCATCAGTCCGTCTCAACGCCACCTCAGCAGGGCATTTTTCGAACCCGTTAAGCATATCTGGCCAATAGCTGCTGAAACGACGTTTATTCAGATGATCTTCGTATGTTTTAACTGATAAAGGTTGATATATTTTGTGTAGATGTGTTTGCTTGCAAACCTATTCGTTTATTTAACATCGAACGCACCTTATATTGTCATTATTATACAGTATTACAATATTATGCAAATGCAGATTATGTTATCTAATGATAAAGATGTTTTTAAGGGAAACATAAACCTATAGCGATCAGACTGAAGTAATTAATAAAATAAATCCATCTATATGTCCTTGTGTTTATTAGACTAAGTACCTTTTGTACTATATATCAATTCGCGCCATTATTATGTTCAGCTGACTTAATGTTTGATTACACTTTACAATATTAATGTTGAATACACAAAAGTTATTTCAAGTACAAATGTATTATTTACCATATCCGTCCTACATCCTGGATCATTTTTGAGTATCCTATCATTCCTAAGACGCGTTCTTTTTTCTGAAGTAAGTATTGGATTCTATGTTACCTACTTCATTTTTTCTATATAGATATTCTAAGTAGGTATATACATAAAATTATATTTTTTTAAAAATTGTACAAGAGGAATCGAAAAGCGGCAAAAATATTCATTCTGTTACGTTTCACGTCCGAGGCACCCTCTCTTTCCTCGTTCATAATTTCCTTTTTCAAAAGCGACTACAAATTGCCGGTAACCAGTACCGCCCATCGTTATTACGGGCCACCAAGGTACTAACGAACCCTACACACGAGAGCGTAGGGGAATTTTTGAAATAGTATAGGTAACTGATTTCCTGGTTCCTCTGTTACAAAGCTTTTGTGCCATCAATAATGTAGTCATTGAACTATGAAAATACTGAAACGGATGCTAGATAACGAGGACAATTGAAAAAAGGTATTGGTTTTAGCGGCTACCTTTCCTTGTTGCACTCGTTTAGTCACAAACTGAATTTATGTCCCAAATGTACAACAGTTCTATAGATATCTACATTCTATTTCAAAAAATTTGTACACCTGAGTCCTAATGTCGATCTAAGACAAATTTTTTTTCGGGCCTCAAAACAAGGCAGCGTATAACCTTCCTTTTTTACCGAGTGCACCAAAATTTCGCGGGAAAACACTTTTTCTTATTAATTTTGGTGCGTAGAATCCAAAACAATTCGTACTTTTTCGATCAGACTTCTCAATCAAAAGTTATAGACTAAAAACCAATTTCGAAAAAAAATTCAAAGGGCTGTAACTTTTGAACTAGTAGCCCAATCTTCGAACTGTTTGAAATTATGGATTCTACAGGGCACATTCTATAAGAAAATTTTTTTTCCCGGTCGATCTGAGACAATTTTTTTTCGGGGCTCAAAAAAAGGCAGTGTATAACCTTCCTTTTTTACCAAAAATCGACTGCACCAAAATTTCTCGGAAAAACACTTTTTCTTATTAATTTTGGTGCGTAGAATCCAAAACAATTCGTACGTTTTCGATTAGACCTCTCAATAAAAAGTTATGGACAAAAAACAAATTTCGAAAAAAATTCAAAAGGCTGTAACTTTTGATCTAGTAGCCCAATCTTCAAACTGTTTGAAATTATGGACTCTCGATCGATCTCGATCTCAGACAATTTTTTTTTCCGGCCTCAAAAAAGGCAGTTCTTTTAAGTTATTCAAATATTTGAGAACAATTTAGAAATGTTTAGGGAAAGTTTCCATTGTCACAAAATCAAATATAAAAATCCGATACATCTGAATACCGAACTCGATAGTCTACGTAACTTAAAAACAATAGGGACGTTTCTTATATCCTTAAGACCATGTGTACCAATTTTCAAAGCGATCGCACGTTTCTAAACAAGTTATCATGCACACGGACAAACGGATGGTCAAAAATGGATCTGTTCCAAAATCGCTAAGATTAATTTCAGAAAGGCGTACGTATCATGTGCACGACGTACGATCGCTTTGAAAACTGGTACACGTATTCTTAAGGATATAACTGGTATAAGAAGAAGAAAGGTCCTGGTAGGTACCTCCTATACAATAATATAATAATAATAATACGCGTTTACTCCCGTTAAATTTGTATATAACAATAGAAATATAAAAAAAGCTAACCCTATACAAAGTATAACTTGATTTTTTAAGTAGGTAGTATCAAGCCTTTTATCTAGTATACTATTTTAAATTTTTAATGTATTTGAGTGACAAGTATTTGAATACTTTTTACTGTATTCGAATACTTTTTATAGTATTCGAATACCTTTGAAAGTATTCGAATACTTTTGAAAGTATTCGAATACATTCTAAAGTATTTGAATACTTATTTTTTTAAGTATTTGAATACTTTTCAATGTATCTGTATCTAGTATTCGCTTGTACTGGACGTAAAAGTATTTAGTATTCAAATACTTTTTGAAAGTATTCTGTCCAGCTGTGCTTCAAACTAAAGTCTTCAACAAATTTTTTGTCTTGTATCTATGATGAGTTTTTAAGATTTAAAACGCCTGTTGCTACTGAAGTGTCAAATAACTATAACAAACAAGAAATATTAAGGTTTTTCTGGAATTTTTAAGGATAATACTGCTTCAATTTTGTCGCAGATTGTTGTAGATATTTTAGATACAAATATATATCATCCCCTAATGGGAAAGCTGGTAGGTATACATTCTCTAGCCGTGCTAGCTTACGTAAACAAAATTGAATAAAAGTAAAGTGCATCTAAAAAGCGTCGGCAAAGGAACGCGCTTGAAAAAACTACTAAACCGAAATAATTACATATACCGCATATCCCTGAGAGACCAACTATATCCCTGCCAATATGACGAAGAAATCACCATTGCCTTTGAAAGTTTTGTGTTGAGGTAATTTGTCAACATAGCAAGTTATTGAAAATGATTTTGATTTCCTCAAGAATGTGCTTTATCAAAAAAACTGCGAAATTCAACGGCTATAATACTCGGAAATTTCGCATTACTCAAACCTGCAACAACCACCGCACTGATTAACATGGTTCCTGCTGATTCAGACGCTATGATGGCAGCTTTAGTAAAAGCTCAGTTCATCTCACATGCATTATAGGTACATATCGCATGGGTGTATCATGAAAGGTTTAGTGATATGGTATTGCGTCTTGGAAGTGTGCATTTTTTGATGAGTTGATGGATCAGTTGGATGACTTATGACCAACGGCGGTTTGGAAGATTTTGTGGAGTAAAGAGACTGCACAAACATTTTCAGACTGTGAGCGTTACGAATTGTCACTGAAGAATATTATTAAGAACTTCGTTATTTTAAATAGAGACCCCCTATTTTTTCTACATTTTCGGATTCTACGTCGAACTTGGAGTACGACGATACCCCATAGTTGACCCTTTGCTCCAAGGGCTTCGTCGATATTCAAGAAAAATTGAATTTGAATTTGCAGGGGTAATTTTAAAAATTTATTATTCGAAAACGGTGAGACATTGCAAAACAGTTTTCACTTTTATTAAGGACAGATCGAATTTTGTTACGGTATGCGTAACCGTCTAAAAAAGTGAGACTACGTCAGTTTTTCAAAGCTCTCAACTTTTAAATTTTTAAATATCTGTAACACCATTTTTTTCAAATGGCATCCCCCAGAGCTGGGCAGAATACTTTCAAAAAGTATTTGAATACTAAATAGTAAATACTTTACACAAATCAAAGGTATTTGAATACTAAATACTTTTACGTCCAGCACAAGCGAATACTATGATACAGATATATTGAAAAGTATTCAAATACTTAAAAAAATAAGTATTCAAATTACTTTAGAATGTATTCGAATACTTTCAAAAGTATTCTAATACTATCAAAGGTTTTCGAATACTATAAAAAGTATTGGAATACTTTGAAAAGTATTTCATTATCTTACTTTGAAAAGTATTCGAATACAGTAAAAAGTATTCAAATACATTAAAAATTTAAAATAGTATACTAGATAAAAGTCTTAATACTACTTAAAAAATCAAGTTATACTTTGTATGGGGTTAGCTTTTTTATATTTCTATTGTTATATACAAATTTAAGGGGAGTAAAAGCGTATTATTATTATTATATTATTATATAGGAAGTACCTACCAGGACCTTTCTTATACCAGTTATATCCTTAAGAATACTTGTACCAGTTTTCAAAGCGATCGTACGTCGTGCACATGATACGTACGCCTTTCTGAAATTAATCCTAGCGATTTTGGAACAGATCCATTTTTGAACATCCGTTTGTCGGTGTGCATGATAACTTGTTTAGAAACGTGCGATCGCTTTGAAAATTGGTACACATGGTTTTAAGGATATAAGAAAGGTCCCTATTGTTTTTAAGTTACGTAAACTATCGAGTTCGGTATTCAGATGTATCGAATTTTTATATTTGATTTTGTGACAATGGAAACTTTCCCTAAACATTTCTAAATTGTTCTCAAATATTTGAATAACTTAAAAGTACTGCCTTTTTTTGAGGCAGGAAAAAAAATTGTCTGAGATCGAGATCGATCGGAGAGTCCATAATTTCAAACAGTTTGAAGATTGGGCTACTAGATCAAAAGTTACAGCCCTTTGAATTTTTTTTCGAAATTTGTTTTTTGTCCATAATTTTTTATTGAGAGGTCTAATCGAAAAAGTACGAATTGTTTTGGATTCTACGCACCAAAATTAATAAGAAAAAGTGTTTTCCCGAGAAATTTTGGTGCAGTCGATTTTTGGTAAAAAAGGAAGGTTATATATACACTGCCTTTTGTGAGGCCCGAAAAAAAAATTTTCTCGATCGACCCGGAAAAAAATGTTCTTATAGACTGTGGCCTGTAGAATCCATAATTTCAAACAGTTCCAAGATTGGGCTACTATTTCAAAAGTTACAGCCCTTTGAATTTTCTTTCGAAATTTTCTAGTCTATAATTTTTTATTGAAAAATCTAATCGAAAAAGAACGAATTGTTTTGGATTCTACGCACCAAAATTAATAAGAAAAAGTGTTTTCCCGAGAAATTTTGGTGTAGTCGATTTTTGGTAAAAAAGGAAGGTTATACACCTGCCTTTTTTGAGGCCCGAAAAAAAAATTGTCTCAGATCGACCCGGAAAAAAAATTTCTTATAGAATGTGGCCTGTAGAATTCATAATTTCAAACAGTTCCAAGATTGGGCGACTAGTTCAAAAGTTACAGCCCTTTGACTTTTCTTTCGAAATTGGTTTCTAGTCTATAACTTTTGATTGAGAAGTCTGACCGAAAAAGTACGAATTGTTTTGGATTCTACGCACCAAAATTAATAAGAAAAAGTGTTTTCCCGACAAATTTTGGAGTAGTCGATTTTTGGTAAAAAAAGGAAGGTTTCAAATACTTTGCGAAGTATTCGAATACTAAATATTTGTGAAAGTATTTGAGTTACAAAAACAAATAATGCTTCCATAAAAGTATTTAATTACAAAGTATTTGAATACTTTAAAGGATTTGAATACTAAAAAGTATATACAAAATCGAATACTGCCCAGCTCTGGCATCCCCTATGTTTTTTTTCGCTGTTGTTTTCCTTTTTCTGAGACCTTTAATTTGATACAAAATGTCAAGGGCTGCTTCAAACCGTTTCCAAGATATTCCATGAATTACTCACTTCTTATACCAAATCGATAATAAAAAATTAAGTCTCTTTGAATATCCGACAAGTTTTAATTGATAGTTATATCGGAGGTTGACTCATAGTGGCCGGACGGATGTCACGCTAGTTGTCTACTTGTCGTGTGGGGAACTTCTTTCACGTCATGTCGTCTGTTGATTGCTCTTTCACTCGTTGTTTTGTTCATTAAATATAATTTGTATCTTTTCGAGTCACTTCATTTGGAATTAATTTAGTACTAGTACTGTTTACGATGTGACATCACTCTTTTGTCTCTGATTCCGGTTCCGATAATCCAAATTTAAAAACTCCGCTTCCGATTTCGGTTTGAGAGGATACTCACAATAGTTTGTCTTACAAAATTTTGTCTTAAAAAGCTGTGAGGGGATCTTATTCTCTGTGTTACAATGATAAAATCTTTACTTTACTTTCAAAATGTATTATTTATTAAAGTTAGTGGTTATAAAATAGCATCATAGACTATATAGGCTTGATAACATGAAAAATATCAATACAACAGGTTTACATAAATGGAATAAAATAAAATAAAGTAGAACTAAGACCGGGCTGGATATTTGGATGTGCTAGCAATCGCCCGAAAAAGTGCTAGCAGGAGGTGTTGGCGTTCCCGAACTGTATTTGGGATCACCGTCACATATATACTTCCCAGATATGAAACGTCGCTTAACTAGAGACAGACGATATCCTGACCCCACCAACTGAAAGTCGATACCCGATAACGTGGTACCTTCGCAATTGAATTGAGTTGAAATCGTACTGGTAGTAGTTGGACCGGATTCCAGCTCCAATCGAGCTAACAACGATCCCACACCATGATTTTCGGAATGCTGCGATAATTCGGTAAACTTCCACATCACTCGATTATTTTCCGCTAGCCTAATAATAAACATACTGTACGATAATAATAATAGGCAGGGAGAATATACGTACAGTTGTGCTGAAGGTTTCGATTGCATATTTTTTATACTGCCATCTATTGGTACAATGACGTTAACGTTTAATAATGGTGACGGTGAGTTCATGGCGTGAGAGTTGTACTTATAATCGATTTTCAGATCCGTGTGAGTTGTTTCACATTTCCAATATGCTACTAGTTGAAATGGGCACGAATTTGCACCCGGTTTTGGTTTAATCTATAGAAAAATAATATTAGCCGTCCACTAACTAATAATCGGCTCTAATTCATAAACTTACTTGGTATTTCAATATTTCTACATTAAAATAAGAAGCGCTTGGATTTTGCTCAGACTGTCGTTTTAATAGGGCACTTAACGCTGACATACTAAACTCTAGAACCAAATTATCTGTTGCCGATTGAGTATTATCGCTGCAAGAAAATGAGTTTTATCGTGAATTCGTTTGCTTGAAATACATACATAGAAACTAATTTGTTATTTGGTAGTATACTATTTAATCTCTGTGTATTTCGAACACGAAACGCCAACTTAGCAGGATTGGGATTGTTTGCCAAAACGGCGACAATCCCGGCCGGAAACGATAGCATCATTTCTCCCGACATTTTTACCTGGCATCTGAAAAATTTGGTTAGAATTTGAAGTACCAATTTCATAATTACTTAGTTTCATCTGTTCCCCTGAAGAATGAGTGGACTATCTCGTGAAACGCTACCGCCAATGGTATGGTGTCCGCCATACCAATAGTCAATGGAGAAGGTCCTCGTGAAACACCAACTGGTATACAGGCAGTTCGAAACTCCAAACTACCGACGCTGTCTGCTCTCGAAATCGTTGCGGGACTTATATGTCCTCGCGATACACCGTCTGATCGTCGCGAAGGCGGCCTGGGAATTGACATGTACCCGGATGTTGGCGTTGGAGTTTGCCTAACTGTTTTAGTTGTACTAACTGCAGGGGACTGTATTTCGCCGACCTCGGAAAACAAATCTCCCAAATCTAAAATGCGAGTGTTACAAACAGTCAGCACTGATCGCGCAAACGCACCTGCGTACTTGGAAGAAGACGAAAGTGTGGGCGAATTTAAGGTCGGTTGCGAAGGACTTTGCAAGGGGGCGTAAGGATGCGAACTTGTAGGAGTGGATGCATTGGAAGCAACTGGGCTTTGAAATAAGTTTAGACCTAATAGATCGCTACTTGGTTTACCCAACTGTTGCGACACAGATTGAGAACGTTTCATAATAGTGTCTGAACCGTCGTTACTCGATCCTCTTCTACCTCCGCTATTATTTAAAGGTGATAAGTATAAATTCTCTACAGTCGCTCGCAGTTCATCAACTGATGCCGACATTGGAGCCGTGCCATTATTTAATGGTTTTATCTCCACGTGAATCTTACGCTCCCTTTCATCATCTGCATACAAAGAGAGACATGTGTGATTTAAATATGAAGCACGAGTTCTAATTACCTGAATCTGAATCGGAACTAGAATAAAAGCTACTTTTGTCGTTTGTCCAAGCAGGTACGGTGTTTTGTCTAATAACGTAGCCATCTTCATCTAATTGGGGCTGATCCTTTTCAATTTCGGGAAGAGTTTGATTTTTACCAGTCTCTTCTTTTTCCTCCCTAAAACCACGTGTTATCGACGATCGCACTCTAGCCAAATCTTACAAATCCGATTTCTCTTCCTTATTGCTGGAATTGTCCGAAGCGTCTTTTTTCTTTTTTGCCTTCTTTTGTTTGGCTTTATCTCTCCTGCTTCTCAAAAACCCTAGAACCGTTCTAGTATTGAACAAAAATTCCAGCAAAGAAGAAAAAATAATAGTAGATACGTAATAAATAGTATAACAATAATAATAGGTAACTAATAGTTGGGAAAATTACTTAAGAGGTGTGGATTACTTTGTTTTTTGATAGCAATAAGTGATAAATAATAAAAAGGCATTTGCCAACACAGCCGGTAGGGGAGCGCGGTGCGGGATAGGAGCTACAAGCACTACACCAACCAACAAAACGTGCCAGGAGCCACCACCAAGAATGCATCTGCACGAGCCGATGCCACAGCAGCATGCACGGTACAGCTTAAACAGAGAAATATTACACTTGGATCCACGATGAGCTTGACGCGCCATCTGTTGTCCATCGGCGGGGCTCGTCGGGCTCGATGGGGCGCTACACGGACCGGCTCGACCCTCGCGTGACCCTGAAAACACAGCCCCAAGCCCGGGTTAGAAGCACCTACCACAAGCACATTAGTGTCACATACCCTGGGAGTTAGACATGAAGAGATTAAGAAGGGAAGTTGTACGACGGGATGTTTTGGGATGTGTTGGCATAGCCTGCGTCACTGGTATGCCTGCATTTTGATTACCTTCGCGCTTACAAGGTTTGTTAGGTTCTGTTTCTTGAACTGGCGATGTAAGTGGTTCTTCCACATCAACCAACCCTGAAAAGGTAGAGTTACATTCGTACCAACAGAACTTACGCAATAAATCTTACCGGGTTTTTCTAATCCCGTATACTTGCTCAAGACAAACTGTTCTAGTAGACGGTCGACAGTAAATTCCAGACATTGCCTTTTAAATTCGGTGTGAACTTGACCAGTTTGATCATGCGTCCATTGAACCACCTGGGCGTACGAGTTGAGAAATTCTTTCATTTGCGTTAAATGCGTCACTTCTAACTCTTGAAAATGGCGACATGTAACCGACATTTTACGTTCAAAATCTTCCTTAACGCTATTGTACTTTTCTACGTAAGATCTATAGTCCTCTTGGGCCTTCTTCAATTTAGCTTCCGCCTTTTCTATTTCCTTGGGTGAATTGTTTTCTTTTTTTAATTTTTCTACTTCTAATCCTTTTTGAGTGTAGGCATCCTTTGCTTTTTGTACCATGGTTGTCGTCGATTGTATTATCTGTACAGCTTCTAAAGTACCTGATTCGTCTTCTTTTACCTAAAATAATATATAAATTGATTAAAGGGTTGTGGTTTTGCTTAATGTCAAGTTGAATAAACAATTTGAAGCCTCTGGGAAAAAACATTGAAACCAATTTTTGATAAAATTCTACGGGATGTCCACCAAGTAATTAATCAAAGAGGTTATGTAATCGAGCTATTAATGCCATATTACATAAAACCTGTGTGCTAAATAAACAAATTCAATGAGTCACTGACAAGATTAGTTAACGAGAATGATTACATAAATTAATTGTGATGTTTTTTTTTCTAAAAATACTTAAAAAGTGCCTCTCCGTTTCAGTTTTGTGATAGTGGTATGACATTTGAGAAAAATCTAAAAGACTGATTTACTTTGATTCAGTAACTGGCTAATGATTTGCAAGATTTAAAAAAAATTACAATTTTGCTGTTTAAATCTTCAATCTTCATTAATATACACGATAAAATGGCGAGGGTTCTAAGGTAGATTTGTCACATATACTTAATTATGTGTGCCTCTATAAGTTCATTTTGAGTAAATTCTGCTCTACTGGGCCCTTTTACCTTTTGTAACATGTAAATCAGGGCACCAGTCTCATGATAGCATGATAGGTTTTTTTTGCTCCAATCAAACCTTGTTACTCGATACATCATAATCTTTATAATAATAGACATTTATTTGTTGCAATCTGTTGCTTTCAGTTAACTTTTAACTCGACTTCTAATATTCCTCGAATTTATTTCTTTACATTTTTTAAAGCTTAGTAAAAAGTAAAACTCGTATTAATCAATATTTTTTGTACATTTTCCAAATCATATTGGAAGGCGCTATTATGGTCACTTTCTCCGCCCGCCCGTTCGTCTGAGGCTTTAATTTTCAAGATATTTAGTTCATTCTTTTTGGCATTCAGTAGCCACCTTGACACCTCAACCAAGAAAAATTTCGACTATTCATGTGCGCATGCGCAGACTACGCAATGTCAACTTTCTTATTTATTTCAAGTTTAGTCGAAGAGTCTCCTAGTAAAGACAAGCATATCGCATATTGAGAAAATCAGATGTGCGCATGCATATGTATGGAGACATTTTTGGAAACTTTAACCAAAAAGTAAAGGGATTTTTGTTTCGGCTGCACCATATATCTTTTGAGTCGTTTCTCTTTCTTCTTGAAGATATCTGGTGGATATCCATGAATCTACTCTCGGATGTACTACCACTACTGTATGGATGTTTGGTGTACTGTATTCTATTTGAGATTTTCCCCTGCCAAAGAAGATTGTGTGCAACTGTGAAAGATTTGATGCTGACTAAGTACTGACTGCCTGATTCATAGATAAAGTGCTGCCTGTATCGTGAGAATGTAATAACGCTTCACGCAATCCATCTTTGGATAGTGAAGACCGGAGTTAAAAAGGTGCTGTCTAGAGCTATAGTGTTGACAGATACAAATACGTTAAAACATAACAGAGCAACAAATAAGCTTATTGCAATAAGAGATTTCAACATTTGTATTTTATTTTATTTATGTAAGTTAATCACACCTCAAGATTCAACTACTATATCAATGTAAATCATCTTCAGGTATAGATTTGGATTTGAGTAATAAGTAACTAGTAACTGATCTGGAACAATTATCAGGCCTTTGTACTCAAGAACTATACTTCATCCCAAAATAAGGAGTAGCTAATCATATTGCCTACAAAATAATGTAGGGTCCTCATAGAAACGGACAATATGTATAGACATCAGTAATATAAAATAGGAGGACCATGTTAATGTGATATACTTGCAGGTCAACTTCTTCCGCTTCTGGGATAGTTAAAGTGAGAAATATAATAACCGGCATGCCCAAAACCCACTTTTTAAGTTGTGGGGGTTTTTCAAAAATATTGATACTAATATCGATACGTTCTCAGTACTTTTAATGGGTAGGGTTTATTCTGCACACAAGCACTAGGTACACTAAATAATAATTCTCTTCCATCATGTTCTGATTTGTTCAGCTGCAGAAGTAAAAAATGTGTAGCACAAATTAGCACACTACTTACCGTTTTATGCTTTTTATGTAAATCGTCGGCATATTTATTAATTTCCTTGACTAGATCTGAAACCTTTTGTACCATCTGCGAATGTAAAGTCGACAGTCGTTCGGCAGAGGACTTTAGCACCTGCCATAGCGGCGAGAAAGTTCCGTGCATACAACAACTACCGGCCTGTTTGGCAAGCTTGGCAAACGCTTTGGAATTGTTTTCCTCCGTGCTCGACCTTATAATTGAGGGCAATTAGGTTAAACGAGCGAAATAAAATTATAATCAAGTACCTCTCTCGAAAGAAATCGGCCAATTCTTTGCTGGAGACTAAGCCATACTTCATATTGTGATACAAGACATCGAACCCATTATTCTTCTCCCCCTGCAACATGTAACCCCCTTTAGAAAACATACTTATTTTCATAAATTAGCTCTGCCTTTTTTATTCAGAGGAACGTATTTACCTAAGATAAAAGAGCAAAAAGAGAGCGGAAGATAATTTCTTACGCATATTGATTTTCTTAAAAAGCTAACCACAAATATTTGAAAAGGGACTTCTAATTATACAATTAGCGAATTAATTGGATTCAATAAAATCCGTTTAATATAAACAAGTTGATTGTTAGGGGGGATTTGTTGTTATTAACCAATTTGAGTGCTACTTACCCAAAAATAATCGTTAAAATCCACCGTCATGATTACGATTTATCCATAACATTACATAAAATTTATTGCATCAAAAATTCAGGAAGGTATACGACACTTAGCGTAAAACACAATATTTAAAACACGACGGACATTACGTTAGACATACACACATAGATCGGGATCCTTTACTAAAGTTCGGGGGCGTATCATTGATGATAATTATAATAAGTTTACAACACACTCCTCAACTGAGCTCACATGTAAGGCGATAACAGTTTCCTTCCGACGACGACATGTTTAATGGGTTGCATATAATGCAGGGACTTGGTGCACCGTCGTCGTCGCGCCGACGTGATCGGATTCAGTTTCACTTTTATATCGGCGTCTGAAGCGCTCGCCGCCAATATTTAAACAACCGTAAGGACAGGCAAGCAATCGAAGAACTAAAGAAATAAAACACTGAAAACTGGAGAATACACAAATAAAAAAAGAAGGAAATCAAAATAATAGAGAAACATCAGAAGAAAAGAATGTGGTAATCAGAGCTGGGCAGAATACTTTCAAAAAGTATTTGAATACTAAATAGTAAATACTTTACAGAAATCAAAGGTATTTGAATACTAAATACTTTTACGTCCAGCACAAGCGAATACTAGATACAGATACATTGAAAAGTATTCAAATACTTAAAAAAATAAGTATTCAAATACTTTAGAATGTATTCGAATACTTTGAAAAGTATTCGAACACTTGTCACTCAAATACATTAGAAATTTAAAATAGTATACTAGATAAAAGGCTTAATACTATTTAAAAAATCAAGTTATACTTTGTATGGGGTTAGCTTTTTTTTGTATTTCTATTGTTATATACAAATTTAAGGGGAGTAAAAGCGTATTCTTATTATTATATTATTATATAGGAGGTACCTACCAGGAACTTTCTTATACCAGTTATATATATCCTTAGAATACGTGTACCAGTTTTCAAAGCGATCGTACGTCGTGCACATGATACGTACGCTTTTCTGAAATTAATCCTAGCGATTTTGGAACAGATCCATTTTTGACCATCCGTTTGTCCGTGTGCATGATAACTTGTTTAGAAACATGCGATCGCTTTGAAAATTGGTACACATGATTTTAAAGATATACGAAAGGTCCCTATTGTTTTTAAGTTACGTAGACTATCGAGTTCGGTATTCAAATGTATCGGATTTTTATATTTGATTTTGTGACAATGGAAACTTTCCCTAAACATTTCTAAATTGTTTTCAAATATTTGAATAAGTTAAAAGTACTGCCTTTTTTTGAGGCCGGAAAAAAAATTGTCTGAGATCGAGATCGATCGAGAGTCCATAATTTCAAACAGTTCCAAGATTGGGCTACTATTTCAAAAGTTACAGCCCTTTGAATTTTCTTTCGAAATTGGTTTCTAGTCTATAACTTTTGATTGAGAAGTCTGATCGAAAAAGTACGAATTGTTTTGGATTCCACGCACCAAAATTAATAAGAAAAAGTGTTTTCCCGAGAAATTTTGGTGCAGTCGATTTTTGGTAAAAAAGGAAGGTTACACACTGCCTTTTTTTGAGGCCCGAAAAAAAAATTGTCTCAGATCGACCCGGAAAAAAATTTTCTTATAGAATGTGGCCTGTAGAATCCATAATTTCAAACAGTTTCAAGATTGGGCTACTTGTTCAAAAGTTACAGCCCTTTGAATTTTCTTTCGAAATTGGTTTCTAGTCTATAACTTTTGATTGAGAAGTCTGATCGAAAAAGTACGAATTGTTTGGATTCTACGCACCAAAATTAATAAGAAAAAGTGTTTTCCCGAGAAATTTTGGTGTAGTCGATTTTTGGTAAAAAAGGAAGGTTATACACTGCCTTTTTTGAGGCCCGCAAAAAAATTGTCTCAGATCGACCCGGAAAAAAATTTTCTTATAGAATGTGGCCTGTAGAATCCATAATTTCAAACAGTTCCAAGATTGGGTTACTAGTTCAAAAGTTACAGCCCTTTGAATTTTCTTTCGAAATTGGTTTCTAGTCTATAACTTTTGATTGAAAAATCGAATCGAAAAAGTACGAATTGTTTTGGATTCTACGCACCAAAATTTTAAAAAAAAAGTGTTTTCCCGAGAAATTTGGGTGCAGTTAATTTTTGGTAAAAAAGGAAGGTTATACACTGCCTTTCTTTGAGGCCCAAAAAAAAAATTGTCTCAGATTGACCCGGAAAACATTTTTCTTATAGAAGGTGGCCTGTAGAATCCATAATTTCAAACAGTTCCAAGATTGGGCTACTATTTCAAAAGTTACAGCCCTTTGAATTTTCTTTCGAAATTGGTTTCTAGTCCATAACTTTTGAATGAGAAGTCTAATCGAAAAAGTACGAATTGTTTTGGATTCTACGCACTAAAATTAATAAGAAAAAGTGTTTTTCCGAGAAATTTTGGTGTAGTCGATTTTTGGTAAAAAAGGAAAGTTTATACACTGCCTTTTTTTGAGGACCGCAAAAAAAATTGTCTCAGATCGACCCGGAAAAAAAATTTACTTATAGAATGTGGCCTGTAGAATCCATAATTTCAAACAGTTCCAAGATTGGGCTACTAGTTCAAAAGTTACAGCCCTTTGAATTTTCTTTCGAAAGTGGTTTCTAGTCTATAACTTTTGATTGAGAAGTCTGATCGAAAAAGTACGAATTGTTTTGGATTCTACGCACCAAAATTAATAAGAAAAAGTGTTTTCCCGAGACATTTTGGAGTAGTCGATTTTTGGTAAAAAAAGGAAGTATTCAAATACTATGCGAAGTATTCGAATGCTTCTCAAAGTATTTAAATACCTTGCGAAGTATTCGAATACTAAATATTTGTGAAAGTATTTGAGTTACAAAAACAAATACTGCGTCCATAGAAGTATGTAATTATAAAGTATTTGAATACTTTAAAGGATTTGAATACTAAAAAGTATTTACAAAATCGAATACTGCCCAGCTCTGGTGGTAATTTATAATCGACACATACGACCAAACAGTGCTAAGGGAACAGTCTATTAAGGAGCACTTAGGGATAGAAATAAGTACAAAAAAAGGAGCCCGAAAATTAGAACAAAACATGTGTAATAGAACTGGAGGACCAAGAAGAGAAAAGTATAAGGCAGGCCACAGACTATCAGGCATACCTGATACCTAAAAACTGATGAAAATTCGATCAGATCTGCCTGACGGGCATGTGTGTGGTCTGTGGCGGTTCCACCAGGTGTAGGTACCTGAACAGGGCACTGTGGGCAGTCTAAATTTTTATGTTTAAGTTCGATCATTTTTATTTATTGTATCGATGTGTGCTTTTTATTCTTTCAACAAATAAAACAATTTGTTTACAGTGAAAAATGTCGCAAATTGTAGCAAACATCTTGGGGGTTTCGGGTGTTTAGGTTTATATCTCGATTCCAGTTTCTTTTGGTGGTGGTTTTGTTTGCTGGTGGATTCTTAAATGTCGGGCTCTAAGACTAGGATGGTGATACATATTTTTGTTATACATCCGATGCCTAACGCGTAAAGATATGGGTTTACTTGCTCCTGTATGCTATTGGTCATATCCTCGTGTAATAATGATCCGTTGGAGAATCTCTGCGAAATTTTCATCGGCCTTAAACATGCTTTCCCTTTCCAAATGGGATTGGTGGACTGATTCTACCACCTTTGAGATCGTATTTATGGAATATGTTTGAATCGTCTTTAATGGTGCACGTCTGGGTAACTTGCAGAGTATGCTCGTGTTATTCAACCAATTATCCTGGGCACTAGCCGTCGCAGTCTAAGCGAATTCCTCTGTTACCTCTACTGACAAAGAGCCAAGTATTCGGCATGCCTAATTTTTTCCACAGTACGTGATCCACTATGAACGTGTGGCGGCTGTTGTTTGGCTCCGCGATTGTAGATTTGGTCTATCGCATAACTAGAAATTACATTGATGTCATATAGATCACCCTTGGAGCGACAAGCCGTCGATTTCTGCTTAACTTTACGACTTGGTGTATTTCCGACGACGGGGTTAACTCTCTACATAGTGCTGGTTGTTGTAGTCGACAGCCAGCAGGCTACTGTCTACTGCTGGTGCGACAAACAGGTTATTCCGAATGCGACTAGGAATTAGTGTGACATTTATAATGGAATAGGGGGTTGCAAGTCCATCTTTTTCAACTGACTGGATATTAATTGGAGTGATGCTGGTAATTGGTGAATCGCATGCTGGAATTCTCGGCAGATCTTGATCAAATTGTGTGTCTAACTAGGCAATGAGCCCATGGACCAATTGACCAATTGGTGGAAGTATAACAAGTGTATATTAATCTTGTACTCGTCTGTTTGTCGATACCAGGCTTCAAGTTCCCGAATATGCTTCAGTCCATGATTCAACTTCTCTGTAAAGTGGTTGAGTTTCTGTGTGATTCTGCGCTCTATATCATTCATCGCCTTGTTACGGTTTTCAACATGGAGTTGTTTGTTGCTTAGAGGCTTCGTGTCTCTGGTTGTCCTCCAACTTGCGAATGTCTGTGTAGACCTCGTCGTTGACTCCGAAGATCGATATTAGAATTCGATGTAGAAGTACTCCGCGTTTGGCTCGACCGCCATGTCCCTGCTGGACTATCCACAAATGTACTTTAAGTTCTTGAAAGCATTGCTTTAATTTCAGGACCAACTTTTTGGATCGTATCTCCTCGTTCAGCTTTCGACCCGCGTTGCATAACTCCGTGAATGTCCCAACGGTTTGATTTACAACTTCTTGGTGTTCCTTCCCTGTGCTCCACTGCCCGTTGCCCGTTATGAATGTTCGTTCCGTTGATTGAATGGAAAGAATCATTCAAGTGGGTCCTGATGCCTCCCCTGCAGTACGTTCTTGATCCGTCGACGTTTTCCCATTGTCACTGTACCTTTGGGGCCTGTCTGCTACCTGCATTCTTCACCGTACATGTATTCGCCGTACTGATATACTTCCGTGATCCACGTTTCGTTTCGATGTCGGGCATGTCGTTACTGTAAAAGATCCACAAGAAGTTATAAAATATATATGACACTGAAAAAAATTATGAAAACTATTGAAGTTATTTGAAAAAATCCGATTTTCTTAATAATTAAATTACTATCAGTAACTACAACAAATATAATTCAATTAGTCAATTATGGAGTACCTTCCTTAGAATTATGTAACAATGGTTTTGCCATATCTATATAAATATTTTGTTACATTTTGAAAAAGTAATACCTGTTGTTGTGCTGTTGATCACACTTAATGCAGCCTA